ACACAATTCCTATAAATAATCAAATAGTAATCCTTAAAAATGCTTATGTTTTAATATACCCAAACGACTTCTTCAAAAATGTATAAAAATAGAAGAAATCTCCTTATATTCAAAAACTCAACTTAATAAAGATGAACCCTGTATAATTAATTCTATATATCTTAAAGATCATCATTGTCCAATCACACCTATCTATTATAATAATACTTCAACCGCTCAACTACAGAGTAATTCTATTATCCTCAATCTATCTTCAGAAGAAAATGTTTCCTTCTCCTGTCCTAACCAGACAACAATTGAATTAATTAATCAACCTTCAACCACCACAATGTATGATTATTATAAAAAAACTGTATCAATCAATCACCGCTATTAGTTAAGATGAAGAATGGTCCATTGCATTCCAAATAAAGATATTTTTATAAAGTCTTCGCTATTAACTTTCCCAAAGACTATAAAAAAGTATACTTATATTTTTTCAAAACAGCATAAAAACACTCATCAAGTGATTAAAGACTAACAAACGTCAAAATACTTTTGTTTTAAATATTCACCGAAAACATCCAATCGGTTCCAAAGTGGCATCGTATGCACTCCGTGCATAAAGGAATATTTTAAGGAATTGAGAAACTTTATGTGAGGATATTATTAAAAATCATATTAAATCATTTTCTGTACCATATAGAGGTATATGTGCAGGTCTTTTGCATCCTATGAATTAGAATTTTCTAATATGTGTATTATTATTATTATTGACGTTTACCCTTGCAAAACATTTTTTTGAAATTGCATCATTAAACATAAATGTTAGGATTACTTAAAATAGTAATTCCTATTTTTTTAAATATGCTTGAGTGTGACTAAAAGTTTGCCAACTGGAGTTGATTTTGATTAATTTATAGACACGTTTAAGTTTCATGCAAACAAGTTTGTCTGAAATAGTTTATTGCATAATATCCTTTTATGACGAATGTACTGCAAATGTACGAAATGGCTTGTAACCGTGGGTAACGAATATGACCTCTTAACGTGCCACTTTTCGAATATTTGATCTGTACATATTTGGGTGTTTCAGAAATGGGAATAGAAAAAAAGGTATATTTTTGAAATATTTTTATGCTAGATGGTTTTACAATGCCATTTGAATAAGGTATTTTCACGAGAGATGTAATATTGAACTTTTCTACTTTTATCGATAGGCTTAATCTGATTGCCACTTCGGACCACGTCGGATAAACACTGGTTTCGATTCGGCCTCTATTTCGTTCATTGAACTGCCAGAAAGGTTTTCATTGGATATTTTACCTAAATGGTGGAAAGTTTTATAATTTTCGCCATAAATTATTTTTCTCGAATATCCTAACACACGCCAAGCATTATAAGTAGTTTCTTGGCCCAAATCGAATTTGTTATTCTAGTTGGTAGTAAGCCTTATGCAGATTTAGATTTTAGAGGCTCCAATGGCCTTTATGACGTAATCCATTTGGTTTTGGGATACACTTTGCTAACACTAAAGAGTTTTAAATAAAAAAAATTCTAAGTAAAAGAAGAAATTCTGAATGACTTCGTTATGGCAAATCTATCAAAACAACGACAATTCAGTGTTATTCTTATGTCTATGGATGCATTTGTTGTTACTTCGAATGGTATGGGTAATCGAACCATCAATTTTTAGTAAGTAGAAAGTGTTTTTTTTTATATTACAATTTTTAATATTTCTGCCATAATCGATGAAACTATCGCTTATGTGGTTTGAGTAATATATATACCCGGATTATATTTTTACTGTCATAGCGGTGCTCCGTCTTTTTGGAGTCCAAATATCATTCTCAGCACCTTTCTTTCAAATATAAGCTAATACAAGCTAATCGAATTAGATGAACACGTCATTTGGTAAGATCACAAGACCACAGATTAATAATGACATTATTTTTTAAATGACCGGATGGAAGATGCAATGCTAATCCAGTAAAAATGGAAGGATGCAGCCGACTTATCCAGAATTGGGGAACGAAAGTATAAAGTCGTACGAGGTGGAGAGAAAAAGTGGATACGGCTAAGACCTACACTGAGTTCTAAGGTCAGGAAAGAAGAAGAAGAAGAAGCAAAATAAAATTACCTACATATAACGCTCTCTAGTTTACTGGGTTCATTTAAATTGAAATTTATAATAATATAGTATCCAAAAAGTTAAGCGACACTTTAGTCACGAATTTTTAGATATGTTACATATTATGTTTTTACAACCGTCATGAACATATGCAAAACGATGAAAATTGACAAACGTCAGCATTTTAAATATCTTCGAAAAACATCCGATTGTCGATAACTTGCGCTAAAACGCACACACACAAATGCCAAGCTTGACCCAGTATTAACAAACCCCAATGAAATTGCGGGTTAAAGTAAATCTCCGAAATCAAATACGAATTGATATTCTGGCAGCAGTTAAAAAACACGTTGTTTAGATAGGTATAGCCTGAATGATCCCGCCTAAGCCCATGGTAATCGGATTTGTGTAAATTATAAATGATAGGACGACAGGTTGATTTGCATTTAGAAATCGGAAATGAACGGCTAAAATCTACACAAATCCCCAACACCATTGACGATTATTGCATCAATTTGAAACAAAATGCGCAACTACAAAATTACCGGATTAGACTTTAACGCAATAGCATTTTCCTTTAGATCAAGATACATACCTGTGCAAGGTTAGTTCAATTTTTTATGTTGTTGGAGTACAGTGGTTATCTACAAAGATAAAGTCACTTTGAAAAGAGATATACACGCGTTCTTTATTACTACTGTTATTTGACTTGTCCTATTCATGAATTATAACTTATCTTTTAACTTAAAACTACTAAACAGCTAAATTCGGCGAAATATTTTTCTGTAATCCTGGTTGTCCCGATGGTGTCACTTGAATAGTATGGATCCCAATCTCTCAAAATCTCGTTTCACTGCCTCCTTGATGCTTTAGTTTACGAATATACTTGGATGAATGAAAACCTAAAGCCGGTATCAAATGTTAAAGACCTTGGCGTGCTCTTCGAAAGCGGCTTTACATTTAACAATCATGTGTCCAACATAATTTCAAAGGCTTATATAATATTGGGGTTTATTAAGAGGTCATCATTAAATTTTCAAAACGTGAATTCCATACAACTCCTAATTACAGACGACTATTATAGAGAAATCTAATCAGTATCATTGGTCACAATGTTACTAGTCTCAGTTAGTTTGGATTGTGGTTTCGTTTATACTAGTCATCAAGTGTGGTAGGCAGTTATTGATGATAATTTTGTGAATTTTGGTTGAATGGTTGGAAGTTTTTAAAGAAGGATAATTTTGGGATACTTCTCAAATGAAGATCGTGCTGGGCGTAATTTTTTTTCACATTCACTGAAATATTTTGGCTAGTTTTAGATTCGTTTCAATAAATTCACGCTGCATATTACAATTAGGATCCCAAAAAAAGCTAAAAAGAACCAACTCTGTTGACGCAACTCGGTAAAGTAGCTTAACAAGTACGCGGACTGAACATCAGAACAGCGGCTGCATTCCGGAACTTTGCATAAGTTTGCGTAGTTAGTAAATTTCAGGTTTATAAATTCCGGCATAAATTGAAACTTATTAAAATCAAATTGTGACGCTTAGTACATCTAAATAATCCACTTATCAACAAACAATTTATATTAGTGAAATTCTTTTTACAATGCAATGAAGGTGCTTAGTTCTTATAATACCAAGTTCATATGTGCCAATAAGATGTTTTCATTCTCCAAAGACATTCACTGAATATTAGTACAAAAATTAGATGTTACATTGTATTTAGGTGGCGACTTGCCTATAATACCCAACAACAACAAAAAATCCGAACAAGCAATAAAAAAATATAAAGCAAAAATTGTGGCACATCTATAAATCAAAGAATAAATAAAATAAACGCAACCAATATAAACGACGTTCTGAAATAAATGTTGTAGTTGGGAGCAATAGACAACTACTTGCTCTTTGAAAACATCAGATTCTCTAGCTTTTCTTCATGTATATAGTTACACCCAGAGACAACTATTGAAGACCTTACCAACTATTTATCTCCGATATTTCCCAAGGTAAAATCCGAAAAACTAAATTCGCGGCACCCCAACTATTATTCGTCATTCAAAGTCACTATAGATATAGACCACTACGAACAATCCACGGAACCTTCTTTGTGGCCGACGGGAACTTGTGTAAATCTTTTTTTTTCACAGAGGGAAGACTGAAACGTCACTCAGATAAGCACGCATATAGATCTTGACAGGTGGGATGACGTAAATTCCCAGACCTTACAACATTTTTTAACGCAGAGGACAATTAATGTTAAGGACTTTAAAAACAGCTTTAGTGTGTTTCATATTAATATTCAAGGTGTGTCCGAAAAAATTGATCAGCAGTATATTACCTCTTTTAGTGTTTTTATCTTTGTCTCTTTGTTCTTTTTTTGTATATAAAATGTATTGTTGTTTATATTTGTTGTTATATTGTAACGTAGTGTTTATATTTAATTGTTTTACTTTTTATACTTAAACTCTATTTTTAATATTGTACAATATTATTACTCTGACTTGCTATAATGTACTTTGTACAAAAATAGTTAAGAATAAATCTATCTCTCTATCTATCTATCTATTTATCTATCTAATCTATCTATCTATAAAGCAAAATAATTCATCAAGGCAATAGATTGATAAAGTTTGATGATCAATATTTTAAACCAGTTTTCAGCTTTTTTTTGTTCTATATTTTATATATCGATTTGTTGACAATATCGCCAAGAAAATTACCATATGTCAGTAAAATACGGATTAAATCAAGAAGACATTTTCGTTTTTGGGTAGTATATTCTTGTATCAGTTATAAGTTAAATTATGGAGACACTGATAATCGATGGTTTAACAAATTCTATATTCTTTATTTTTTATCAAGGTTAACATTTTTTTCTTTTGTTTCAGCTTTCTGTTTTTGAGAAAAATATGTCTCGCTATAAGATTATTACGTTTCCCCCCAACAAGCGGACGGATTTAATTTACAAGCTCGGGTAAGGTCCTAATTTTCATCAGAGATGGCCTCTAACAGAAACAGAGAAATAATTAATTGTTTGAAGAAATCATTGCCGGTTGGTTATTGAAGACTGGTAGAAAATTTTAAATCGCTTACATTTTTGGAAATTACTCTATTTAGTGAGAATGTTGTCCATTTAAAGAGAATTTTAAATATTTTACATATGATGCTAATGCTAATTTCTATTTTTTTATGTGGCTAATCAACTAATCAGCCTACACTTTGACAAAGTATTCTGAGAAATACGTTCAATTTTTTTTGTAAACCAAGGTTCACAAGATTACAGAATGCAAGAATATAAAACAATACAGTAAATACGCATTAATTAAAAAAACATCAATTAAATGTTATTTGATTGCGCAAATGTAAATCTACTTGTTATAATGTGCTACAAACATTAAGCAGATTTGTCATGTATAGTTATTTTGAAAAATTAACCAATCTTTTTTAAGCATGGTGACTTTATAACAATAAGAAAATTTAAATATATATGTAGATAAAATATCATATCCTTTAGTTTATTTTTCGCTAGCACGGTATTTGTTTGTTTGTTATTCTGCGTTCAATTATAAAAGGCTATGTTTACATTATTTATTTTAACGAAAGGTTAAAAATAGGTCACGACGCTTAACCACGGGCATTAGCTATTAGAAGGTTAGACGAAAAAGACATAAAAGACGTGGGTAACGCGGAAAGCTGTGCCGAGTACTCTTTTTCTTTAAAAAGACGAAAGGCGGGTCGTAGACTAATTATGATTGTCCATATACCAAGTGTCGACGAAGTTGTTGTAGGAGATGCAGCGTAAATAAGAGAAAATACAGTTTTGTTTAATTTGCCACAAAGTCGGACTGTGTTTATTTCTAGACAAATAATAAGCAAACCTACATATATGAAGCAGGTTATTTTTACAAAGGCAAAAGCAGAACAAACAAACAACACCTCTATTATGTATTAGTTTGATCTGTTACTAGGCAAAAGCAAGGAGGCATGCTCAACAGCTACCTCAACTGCTTCCTTTATTCAATGTTATATTTCTGTCGGACAGATATTTATTATTGGCCATTAACTTTAAAGTCTTTTAGCGTGTCTTACGGTGATGAATATGAAGTTAGAGTGTCTAACAATTTCCCTGGTGCCAAGGCCGTAGGACCTATGATGTACAAAGTACCGGCTTTTCTGCAGCCGTTCAAGGTCAAAGTTGCTGTCAATGCCGAAGAAGGTGCATTCATGATTTACTGGGAAGAACCGTTTGTGCCCATACGAGTAGGAAGCTACTACTATCAGGTAATTTGACACTTTCACTTCATATATTTTAAAGTTTTGGCGCACTTCCAAACTAGAGATCTATAGAATATTCTAATTGTTTTGAATCGTGTTTAGTGGTAAGGTAAATAGATGGCTCACCATTGAAAGCCCGGTCAGTCCGTCATAAAGTGTAACAAAATGACGTATAAGGGCCCTTGGTTATTCGCTCTTGGTTATACTCTCTGTTGTTATCGTCCTCTCATTTTCAATCATTTCAATAATGTAAAATTGAAAAGAAACTGACAGGCTTCGAAGAATTGTGTATTAGGTTTTTCTCTGTGTTTTCAAATAAAGTTACAATCTGCAGAACTAGTGCCTCATGATTATACAGTCCACTTTGAAGAAACTCGCGCATATTTTTGGTCCTGTAGACCCGGGATGTAATTAAGAATCAGCATCAAAAATCCGTCCAAACAGCAATGTAAACCTCACGTAGATGTGGTAGTGACAACGCTCACCGGATACTTAAGCACAGAAGTACGACCAGAAACAGTGAGTTTGTTCCATGTCTCTCTTCAATTAAAAAGCCTAACACGGTAGTTGCAATTTGCCTGACACGGTAGTTGTTAAAATAACCAAGTTGAACTATGGAAGAGTTAAAGAGATTAAGAATTAAGCGCGGTCAAGTAATATCCAACTTGACACGATTCAAAGAATTCTTGGAAGCTCTAAATCTCCAAGCGATTGACAAACACAAATTAAATGAGTTAAATTTGAGATTAGAAAGGTCGCAGCCACTATTTAATGAATTTTCACAATATCAAAATGATATAGAATGCGTAATTGAAAGTAATGAAGATATTAGTATATTGATTGCAGACCAGCATTCCGAATATACCGAAAGAGAACTATTTGAAACCGAATGCAATATTGTTTATCAAAGATATTTTTCTACTCCCGTCTGTAAAATACTTAGTTACCCACCGATCTAGCATGCGTTAAGCGTCACTTTACCACGTCAGTTTCGTTTCCCACGATTGCGAGCCACTTCGGACATTTCCGGAATTTTACGGCACGGATGTTTTCGGAGATACTTCTCACGCTTTGAATTTTGACGTTTGTCAATTCTGACGGTCATGTCAGTGAATGTATTCGTGTTGTTTTGCGAAAATATACCCAAAAACTAACGGTCGTAGAAAAAGTATAGTATGCAATACTTTCGGTAAACTTTTTAAGTCACTCCTTTATTAAACGCTCGCTCCGCTCGAGTCAAATAAACTCGTGAATCAAATGCCGTTTACCGCACTTCTTGCATAACATACTATTATCTCGTTTTTACTTATAAATAATCTGAAAAATACCTAATTATACCTCAACCTAGCATGCGGAAAGTGTCATTTAGGACATTTCCGGGATTTTACCGCACGGGTTTGGGACCAATCGAATGTTTTCGGAGATATTTCCCACGCTTTGAATTTTGAAGTTTGTCAATTCTAACAGTCATGTCAGTAAATGTATTCGTGTTTTGCGAAAATGTACCCAAAAACTAACGGTCGTAGAAAAAGTATAGTACGCAACACGTTCGGTAAACTTTTTACTCACTCGTTTATTAAAAACTCGCTCCGCTGCGCTCTGTTCATGTCAAATAAACTCGCGAGTCAAATGCCGTTTACCGCACTTAATGCATAATATACTATTTTCTACTCCCGTCTGTAAAATACCTAATTACGCACCGATCTAGCGTGCGGGAAGCGTCACGTTACCACGTTAGTTTCGTTTCCCACGAATCCGAGCCACTTCGGACATTTCCGGGATTTTACCGCACGGGTTTGGGAGCAATCGGATGATTTCGGAGATATTTCCCACGCTTTGAATTTTGATGTTTGTCAGTTCTGACGGTCATGTCAGTGAATATATTCGTGTTGTTTTGAGAAAATGTACCCAAACACTAACAGTCGTACAAAAAGTATAGTATGCTACACGTTCGGTAAACTTTTTAACACACTCGTTTATTGACTCGTGAGTCGAACGCTGTTTACCGCACTTGTTGCATAATATACTATGCCAATGAAGTTATTAGTTCAGTAATTATTAATTCAGAATCGCAAATAAATGTTCCACAAAATTCAGGGTTTGCCTTTTCAATAAAGTTGCCGGAATTAAAGTTGCCAAAATTTGCGGGATCGTTTGACAAATATCTAGAATTTCGCGATGCATTTTCGTCCATAATAGAAAAAAATCTGTCACTGGATACACTACAAAAATTCTACTATTTACGCACGCACTTAGAAGGTGAGGCCGCTCAAAATAAAAGTAACAGAATGAAACTACAAGATCGCGTTGTCAATGTTAGATCAAAGATACGAAAATAATAAACTAATTGTTTTTAATTATGTCCGAACATTTGTAGTTTAGAAGCATTAGGTCAACCTACAAAAGAATGGTCAATGCTGTTAATCTATTTGCTCTCTAGTAAATTTGATAGCCGTACAATGCGTGATTGGGAAACTTATAAATGTCAAGATGAACTTCCTACCCTAGATGACATTAAAACATTTTTGAAAGCAAAATGCGAATTATTAGAAAAGTTAGTAAAGTTAGTAAAGTTATGGTAGTTATTTAAAAAAATATTCTAAATTCAAAACAAAAGCCACGAATTCGCATTTATCAAGCATTGATAAAAATTTTGGTGTCCACACCACACCACACCATTTTAAATTTCGATTTAAAAAAAAGAATGTCCAGACAAAAAGGCTAAAGTTATATTTAAACTATTTGTAGTTGTAGTCATACTGTTCACGAATGTAAAAAAGTGTAAAAATTGTTGGAAACATTTAAATAGTTTATTGCATTGAGACGGGCAGACAAGTCTGGCGGATTACAAGCATAGTAGGCCTAGTCTGGATGGCGGCGGCGGCAACCTGCCGCAAAGGCTGACGCGGCCAGCGGAGGAAAGCGACGCAGGACAAAAAACGAATGAGGGCGCGAAATACGAGCGGAACCTAGTTATCGCCACGCAAGTTTAAACAAAGCAAAATTTCGAGAATTGTAGCATTTACGCATTAACCACGACGTCAGTGTTAATAACAGTCAACAATTTTAATCACAAAGCTACATTTTTACAAGATGCTGGATCACAATCGAATTGTATAACTCAAACTTTTTGTCAAAAAATTAAGGGCGAGGAGCAACAAGTAAATTTTGCGGTTGCAGGTGTAGGGAATAGCAATTCTATTTGTACGAGTTGCACTACTAAAGTCAAGTTAAATTCGCTGAGCGGGGGATATTCAAAATAAATTAATTGTTTAATTCTGTCGAGAATTACACAGCCGATACCCATGTGTAGTTTTGATCCTACCAAATTAACAATTCTGACGGACGTAAGACTCGCGGATCCCGAATTCTGTCAGGACAAAAAATTGACATTTTATGCGGTGGGACCTTTTTCTATGATATTTTGTTAATGAACCAAATTAAATTAGATATACATTTGACACTACAAGCAACAAGGTTAGGTTGAATTATAGGGGCCGAAATTAAGTTTTAAGCAGTTTCTTGTTAGTCGATTGATGATGAAATAAACTCGGATATCAATAACTTAGTGAAATTTTGGGAGATCGAGGAATATGCTGACACATCCAAGGACAATGATTTTTGTGAGTCACATTTTAATAAACACGCACAGCGTCGCGACGACGAGCGTTTTATTGTTAAAATTTCATTTAAAGACAATTTAAACGATGTAGGTAATTCAAAAGAGAGAGAGTTAATAAATTTGGACTTTTTAGAGCGACGTCTCTCTAAAGATAGTAGTTTAAAAAGAGAATATTCTGATTGTATGGCTGAATATGAGCGTTTGGGACACCTGACCCCATTAACCGAAGATATTTATGAACTTTTCGTCTCTAATGTATATTATTAGTCATCATTAGTCATCATGCAGTTATAAAAACAAAAAGTGTTAGAACCACAGACGTCCTTCTTTTTTAGCAATTTTACCCGCACGGGTAAAACAGCACGGTTAAACACGAACAACGACTTCCCCCTACAGATACGCGTTGTTCTGTATGATGTATGTATGTTAGCAGTGGCGGTCGCAGTTGCAATTAAAATAAAATATTCTATAAAATAACGTTCCAAATGGTTAAAGAATGGTTACTCAAGCGAAGACAATTTTCACATGTTAATCTTTTGAATTAATTACGATTAGAACCGTGAGATTGGTTTAATTAACTGCGGATGGACGAAGAAACGTATTTGGAACTGCTCTCTGATGGAAAAACAAGACACCGTAATGAGACGAAGTATTCCACCACATGAACGTCTCACCGCCACACTAACATTTCTAGCTACGGGAAGGAGTCACGAAGATCTAAAATTTTCAGTGGCTATATCACCCCAGGCCCTTGGGCAAATTATACCAGAAAAGTGCAGTGCCATATATTCTGTTTTAAAACACCATTACCATTACACATAAAGGTAAGAAAATATTATTTATTCTTTAAAAGGGCGATAAAAGTATCCAACTAAAAATACATTTCTAAAAACACAACAAAAAAATAGAACTTTTTAAAGATACATACATACATCCTGTATAACTAATTATTAATACTCAGGTAAAAAAAATTCCAAAAGTATCTTGCATCATTTGAGGATAGTAGTATCTGAGATGTAGCTTGGTAGTTTTCTCTGTAATCCAAATCAGTTTGATGGGAGCTTGAACTATCATGTCGCTGATTATGGTAGTTTACGTTAATAGGATTTGTAGCAAACTCTTGTGGTAACCTATTTCCTGACATTTTTTCTGTTAGCGACATTTTGGTATGTCTTGAAATGTTTTCCAGTGCAGCTTCAAATAGAATATCGGATATACATTTTTCCGCCATTAAAGCAGCATCAGGAGGTAAATCTCGTAATTTATTGGAAACATTTTTTCCTACCATAGTAAACCTGTCTTCTTGCTCATGCATATCGAGTTTTGCATTTACTTTTTCCAAAACTTCGTCAGCTCTCTCCTTAACGCGCCGCTTTTTTATGCTATTGGAAGACCTTACTGAGCTCGGTGCTGAAGGATTATTGGAAGATACCGACTGCGATCGATCTGCAACATCAATTTCAAAAGGAGATGTCGGGGATTGCTTGGGAGTGTAGTTAGATCCATCCTAGAAGGGAAAAGCATTATGTTAAAATACCTTACTTTGAATCACTAAAAAGTATATTGATTAGGTTTTTTATTTCAGTTTCCCAGTACCGAAGAGGATGGGCAAACCATAGCCCAAACATACGAACAAAAGTGGAACTTTCTTCATTGCTTAGGAGCCGTAGATGGCAAGCACATAAATATAATACCACCTCCTAACAGCGGTTCTTTTTATTGGAGTTATAAAGCCAGACACAGTATCGTATTAATGGCGATCGCCAATACGAATTGTGAATTCATCATGTGCGATTGTGACACAAACGGAAGAGTATCTGATGGTGGCGTTATAGAAAACACTCTATTCTATGAAAAGCTTATAAGTGGAACTCTTAAATTACCAAATCCCTGTAAAACAAATAATAGTAATGAAACATTGCCCTACGTCTTCATTGGAGATGATGCTTTCTCATTTAGAAATATTTTTTTAAAACCATTCAGCCAAAAAGAATTGAATAGAGAAAGAAGAATATTCAATTATAGTCTATCCAGAGCACGCCGGGTAATAGAAAATGCATTTGGAATAATGGTGGCCAGATTCAGAATCTTCCACACTGCAATTAATTTCAAAATAGAAAATATTGATAAAATCGTTATGACTTGCTGCATTCTACATAACATTCTGATTAGGAAGCGCCATGAAAATTACGCACCCTCAACTTGTTTTTATTCAGAAGATCAAGACTCATTGAAAGTGGTTTAAATACAAAACAGGCATTTGATAATTTACAACGTGGACACAAACAGACATGCATCTGAAGAAGGAAAAAGAGTGCGTAATTTATTTATGGCTAACTTTCATAATAAGGGATCAGTACCCTGGCAACAAAACTTTGTCTAAATCATCTTGAAATAAATTTTTAATCGCATATTTATCATGAAAAAATATATATATTAGTAAAAAGAACTGTAATTTTTAAATATTTTTAAAATCCCTTAAATAAATACTCCGGTGAAAAAAGTGCCTAAACAGTTTTAAATATGCTTGGACAAGGTTATTTACATGGCTACATTTATATAATTAGGTGCCTTTTTGATCGGTAAGTTTATTTTGGAATTTTCAACATTTAATAGAACCTTTTGTAATACTTACCTCACTGCTACTTGCTTCGTCACCAATATTAATAACTGTCCTTCTTAACCGTTTTCCCACCACACACTGACAGACTTGAACGAACGCGTTTAAAACAGCCGGTTAAAATCAAGCAGTGGCAGATATTTTTGAACGCCAGCAAAAAGGACAGTTTTTGGCCACACACTGACCAACTTATCCGCACCGTTTTAACAGTGCGGGTAAAATTGCTAAGAAAGAACGACGTCTGTGGGGGTCTTAAGAGTAGTATTCAACGGATCTATGCCAACAGACAGTGGACTCTCGCTTAACGATGCCCAATATTCCAGTCCAACGGTACAAAACGACTTATTTAGTATTCTTTTAAACACACTTAAGTTTTGAACTCTGAAATTTCGAAAATGTACCAGCAAATTGTTGTTAATAAATCTGATAGATCATATCGAATATTTTGGAAAAATGAAAAATCGGGACAGTTAGTATGCTACGAATTAAACGTATTAACATACGGTTTGGCATCATCGCCATACATTGCAACCAGGTGTTTATTGCAATTGAAAATAGATAATTGAATAAAATACCCACCAACTAGTCAAGTTATTGAAAATAATTTTGAATTACTTGACAAATTTGACATTAACCAGTCACTTAGCGCCACTATATTAGAATTAGGACAAAATAAGAATAGCAAAACTTTAGGTATTTATTAGAATGCAAAAAGTGACACGATACATTACCGTATAAGAGAATTCAATAATTTTTTAGTCGTGACAAAACGATCAACTTTCCATAACAAGTCAGATTTTTTATATTTTAGGATTAGTAGATCTTATAATCATTCGCCCAAAAATATTATTGCAAATACTTTAGAAACAAAATCCTTCTTGGGATCAAGAGGTTTTAGGTAACTTGTGGGAAGATTGTAATTGTATTTTGTAAGAATTTGCGTATTTTAAATGAATTAAAATTTTCTAGGCATGTTTTTGCGATGCATCAAAAAAATTATACGGTGCAAGCGTTTATATCCGTTGGTGAATATTCCAGATTAGAACTTACTGCGGCCGTTTTAGCATACAGATTGAAGAAAGTAAAGCGTCATTAAAGGTAGAAATTGATAAGTATTATTATTGGAGTGACTGAAAAAATCGTATCAAATAGAGTACGTCTAATTCAAGAGAAAACAAACATAGGGGATTGGTATCATATGCAATCACAGGCCAACCCAACCGACTTGATTTCTCGTGGAATTTCTGCCACAAACTTGATTAATAATAAATTTTGATAAATTTCATTGGTCAAATAATGAATGAATTTTGATAGATTGGAATATTGAAATGAACGACTCTTTTTTATCATTAGTTAAAATTTGTCAAGCTAATAGTTTTCGATCTCAAATTAATGAGTTGAAAACTAAAAATTTTATTAGCAGTACTAACAGTATTCTACCACTGCATCCTTTTTTAGACAAATATGATAAATTATGTGTTGGTGGTCGAATACAAAAGACAAATGTTTCATATTCAAAGAAACATCTAATCATTTTGCATAACAAGCACAAATTAACTGAATCGATCATGACAAATAAACACTTGCGTTTGTTACATTGCGGTCCGCAACAACTACTATACTTCGTTCGCGAGAATTTGGGGTCCATTACTGGCAGAAGTTTATCTCGACAAATATGTCATAAATGTGTATTTCAAAGTGAAGGCAAAACCTTGTAATTACTTAATGAGTAACTTGCTATCAGAAAGGTTAAAGCAATGCAGCCCTTTTACAAACACAGATTGCGACTATGCAGGCCATTTCTTAAGGACAGAAAAGGTCGTGAATTTAAACTAATCAAAGCTTATGTTTGTATTTTCATTTGCATGGCAATAAAGGCTATATATCTCGAATTAGTTACAAGTTTAAATAATGACGTATTTTTAGCTGTCTGAAAAGGATTTATCGCTAGATGATGGCGACCTTTAAATATTTTTTCAGACAACGGAACCACTTTTACAGAGGCAAATTCTGAGTTAAGGGAAGTTTTCAAATCTCATTCTGCAAAAATAAAACATGAACTAACTAATGAAAAACTAAACTGGCAGTACTGCAGTACTGCTAGGAGCGCCAAATTTTGGAGGAATTTGGGAGGCAGGCGTCAAGAGTTTTAAGTACCATTTGAAACGCATTATCGGCAATACGCATCTGGACTACGAAGATTTTACTACAGTGTTAAACCAGATTGAAGCAATATTGAACTTGATTCCTATCAGTCCATTGGTTTCAAGTCCAGAAAATCTATCACAGTTGGCACTAGGTCATTTTCTGATTGGGAGAGCCATGATGTCATTTCCTGAACTGACCCTGAGCGATGTCATGGAAAGTCGTCTAACTAAATACCGGCGGTTTCAGCAGCTTGTTCAAAATTTTTGGAAGAGCTGACACAAGGAGTACGTGTCCGAACTACAGTTTTGGCAGAAATGGAAGCAAGAAGGCGCGCATAAAATTCAAGTTGAGAGCTTGGTGCCATTGTATTGGAAACGGGGACAAGTTTCGGAGTTGTTTCCTGGCGACGACGGCATCATCAGAATGGTTACTGTGAACTTTGATAATAATAAAAGTGCAAAACGTGCGTTGAGTAAAATTTGTCCGTTGCGAATTGTGGCTATGATTGATTAAGACTCTAAAAGACCACCACTAAACTACTTTTGTTATTTTTGATAACTGCATGCTACTGCCGTCATTATGTTAATTTATGTTGAAATTGTATTATAATTATATTATAAACTAAAATATTTCATTGAAGTATTAAAAAGTGGAAATTAACAAAGACTTTAGGGATCCCCAGTCTTGTATTGTATTTTAATGCTATTTAAATTATTCTTATTGAGACTTAATCTCAAAACATTGTTTACCACATTTCGTTTTAAAAAGCTAATATGGTAAAAATTAATATGAAAACATTTTTTCTCTAACCTTTTTTAGCAAAGATGGACCAAAAAAGACCTCAAATAGTCAAGTGGAAAATGTTATATCACTTTTCGGAAAAGTATTGTAGCGTGCAGCGGATATAAAGAAAATACCACACAACATATAAAGAAAACGGACGTATTCATATTTAAATTACTGAAGGTATCTTCCAGTAAAAGCGAAGGAGCTTTTCCCAATAGTACATGAATAAAACATTTTCGGATAAATCTTTTACAATCAATGTTAGTGCTGTATTGACCCCTGCATAATAGGAAAAATAAATTTATTTCTCTTCGATTAAGTTAACAAAAGACCGAGAAAGAAAAATGTGTAATGCATTTTAAGTTTTAAATGCTCTGTATGGAAGTTTTATAATATGTAGCCGCAGTATAGCAAAGACAGTAATATAAACATTTGCTAATAAATAATAATAATTGTTAATAAAACATTCACTTTATAAATGTCGATGTTATCATGATATAGAAAATTAATAAATACATAAATAAGAACGGTGGGAGCGTGTCCCATCAGAACGCATTTCCTTTATAACGTTAAAATTGAAAATAAGGAACCTTCACACAAAAGTTCCTTAGATTTGAAAGATACGTATTTTGAAAATAATTTAGAAAACGTACGAATTGCATTTTTTAATTTTTCAGAAAATTAAATAGAAATAAATAATTATAAAAAATTAAAAGGACGGAGCAGCCAAAAATTTCACTTCCCTTTTGTTAAAGCGGTATTCTAAAAAATTTGGATAATAAAATTAAGTTAATGTGTGCAGTGCTCTTAAATATTCTCTATTTAATTCTCTATTATTTCTCTATTTAAATCGATTCCGTTAATCGCTGTTGTTTAATAATCACTCCGCTATAAAAAACAATATGGAAATAATTTGTTGGAAAAATGTAATATCCGGAAAAGCTCACCTGCTGTATTGATGAATGTTCCAATTGTTTATTAATTGCGATCGGAGTTTGACTGATTTAAATATTCTCTAAGCGGATATTGGACATTTTTATTGCAGGGTATATTTTAATTTGGTCGTCGCGACGCTCGCTGCAATATTAATATCTGCTAACAATCAAAATTGCCTCGTATTGAAATATAATAAATTATATATACAGGGTTTTTCACTTAAAACTCCGCACGCCAATAAGTCCAAAACGAAAAGAAATATTTAATTTATGTGAAAAGTAGTCAAAGTGTGGGGTCAAGTAGATATTTCCTAAAGTTTAAAAAATTCGACGCCTGCAAAGAGCTGGGCGTCGCGACGCGTCGAAAAATTATTCGATTGCAGAGACTTTGGAAATACGCGCATACAAAAGTACATATTATTTAAAAACTTTTTTGTTATTTACTCAAACTTATTTACTTTACCCGTTTCTAAGTTATACCGATTTAAAGTAAACATTTCTTGATTAACAAAAAATGTGATTAACGCTTATTTTTACAAGTATGCCATGAATGTTAGTTACTATGGCAATCATTGTTATCGCAGTTGTTTTAAGTGCAATTACAAACGTAAGTTGTTATTGCTGTATCAACAAATTGTCACATTTTGTCACAAGAAATATCCAAATTTGTTCGGTTTAAAAAAAAACTAATAATTATTATGTGAAAATGGTGCAATTTAGCAATGAGGAAAAAGTAGACATGTTACTGGTGTTTGGAGAATGCAGATGCAATTGTAGAGAAGCAAAAAGAGTTTACGCACGGCGCTATCCGCATAGAAGAGTCCCCGATGCAAAAACCTTTTCAAGTTTATGTAAAAAAAAAAGAGATAGGAACAGGACGGCTACAAATGATGAAAATACTGCTGCTGTAATTCAGCAGGT